AGCTCCTTTTTTTCTTTTTTTTTTATTCTGGGCCAGCTTTAGCTCTGAGGCTTGAGTCCAGCTCTGAGGCCTCTGCTGCTGAAAGCAGGTATCTGGTTTGTTTGGGTTCTATAATCGAAACACTGTTTCAACTCCAGCTCTGAGATCTCGGCTGGCTGAAGGCAGGGATCTGCATTTGTTCTATAATTGAAACAATGCTGTGGTCCTGCTCACTGAAGCCCGGCTGGCTGAAAGCAGGGATCTGGGGTTTTGTTTAGCTTCTATATTTGTTACAATGTTTCAGACTGCAAGCTCAGTGGCTGGCAGGGCAGGCGGGGAACGTTGGTTTCCTCCGTCACTGAAGCAAGCAAGCCTCCTGTTCGCTTCCAGCTGCCTGGATGCCGGCCACCATCTTGGTTGGCAGTTAATTTGCATATCGTCCTGATTAGCCAATGGGAAGGGTAGCAGAGTGACACCAATTTGCATGTTTCTCTTTTATTAGTGTAGATGGGATACTTAAATATTTTGTCTTTAACATGAATGCACAAAAATGCTTTTTAAATTTAATGTTTGGCAAGTGTATTTGTTAGTCTGCTAGGGCTGCCATAACAAAGTTCCATAGACTGGGTGGCTTAAGCAAAATAAACTTATTTTTTTCACAGTTCTGGAGGTCAGAAGTGCAATATTAAAGTGCCATTGGGTTTGGTTTCTGGTGAGGCCTTTCTCCTTGGTTTATAGATGGCTGCCTTTCCGTTGTATTTTCACATGGCCTCTTCTCTGGACATGCACAGAGGGAGAGGAATCTCTGTTTTTTCTTTCTCTTCTTATAAAGACAACAGTCTCCAGCCTTATAACCTCACTTAACCTTTATTACCTTTTTAAAGGTTCTAGCCCTAAATAGTCATATTGGGGGTTAGGGCTTCAATTTATGAATTTTTGGAGGACACATTAAGCCCCTAACAGTAGCTTAAACAAAAGAAATTTAGTTTCTCAAAGCTTCAGAGGATAAAAGTTTGAGGTCAAGGTGTTGTCAGGCTTGGTTTCTTTGAGGCCTCTCTCCTTGGTTTTTAGTTGATGGGAGCACACAATTCAGCCCATGACAGCAAGTTATTTAACAAAAAAGTTATAATCATCCACTAGCCAAAATGAATTAGTACCCCCTTTCTTGACCTTAGATATGAAAGGGGTGTTCCACTGGAAGCAGATGTTCATTGCTATTTTTTATTTACTTTCATAAGTGAAGCTTCCCCCTCACTTAGTTATGTTAGTCATCCCTTTGATATTGAAGAAAATGATAATGGGCCAATAAAACCACTTGAAGGTTACTTAGATTTGTTGTTTAGAAGTAAAATAATGTTAAAAAGTCATCAGAATGAATTTGTTATAAGGAAATACTTGTTATATAACAAAAGGAAAATTCCAAAACTAGTTTATGCTCTTGAGAAATTGTTGAAAGAGTACAGTATGTTAGCAAACAATGAATAAAAGCCAAGTTTTAGTTAAATTATGGGTCAAATATTTCTTTCTCAACTGTTGTCCTAATTGTTTTCATAGTCACTTAAATTTTGTTACAACTATTCATATCAAGAAGATTAAGGACATAAGGATGTGACACATCAATTAATACGACTCCTGTGCCCTGGCCAGTGTGGCTCAGTTGATTGGGCATTGTCCCATGCACCGGGAGGTTGCTGGTTCGATTCCTGGTCAAGGGCACATGCCTAGGTTTGGGGGCATGATCCCCAATAGCGGGTGTGCAGGAGGTAGCCAGTTGATGTTGAGCTTTCACATTGACGTCTCTCTCCCTTTCTCTCTAAAAATCAATAAACTTTTCTCAAAAAATATGACTCCTGCATTGCAAAAAAATATTTTTTGAGTGCAGCTTTGAGCAGCATGAAAGAACACAGGCAAATGCTGCAAGCCCTTTGGGCATATGTAAAGTATATGTAAGAATAGCTAATCCCCTTTTAATGCGCACGTATTTTGTGCACTGGGCCACTAGTAGCTAATAACAGGAGATATTTAGCAGAGGGAGGTGGAGAGAGAGAGAGAGAAAAATTGATGTGATAGAGACACATCAATTAGTTGTCTCCCGCATGCACTCTGACTGGGGCTGGGGATTGAACCTACAACCCCGGGACGTGCCCTTGACTGGGAATTGAACCCGAGATCCTTCGGTGTGCACACTGACGCTCTAAGCATTTATTTATTTATTTATTTTAAATATATTTTATTGATTTTTTACAGAGAGGAAGGGAGAGAGATAGAGAGTTAGAAACATCGATGAGAGAGAGACATCGATCAGCTGCCTCCTGCACATCTCCTACTGGGGATGTGCCCGCAACCCAGGTACATGCCCTTGACCGGAATCGAACCTGGGACCTTTCAGTCCGCAGGCCGACGCTCTATCCACTGAGCCAAGCCGGTTTCGGCGACGCTCTAACCATTTAATCACACTATAAGGGCTAGCAGTAGTTTTTATTAAACACCTATTAGCTTGGGTTGTGGCTTTAGAAAAGCCACTGAATCTATTTACATATCAAATTGTTTATCATCTAGTGACAAGCCACTTGTCATACACATTGTTTTTTATTTAAAAATATTTTTATTGATTTCAGAGAGGAAGGAAGAGGGAGAAAGAGATAGAAAAAAATAATTAATGAAAGAGAATCATCAATCAGCTGCCTCCTGGACACCCCACACTGGGGATAAAGCCGTCAACCTGGGCATGTGCCCTGACTGGGAATTGAACTGTGACCTCAT